AGTATTTTGAGTCATAACTTATCAGCCAAATAAACCCAAACGAACGGGACGACCATCCATAGTACATGATAGTACAGTAACATGAATGGAGCCGTTTACCCATTTACTCCCCTCCATCCAACCAGAAATGTCCTGGGCCTGGGCCTCTCTGTCTGTCCACCGTCATTCAAGCCCCCTGATCCATCAACAGTGCGACCCCAGCCCGCCCTAGGCCCTACCAACCACCACACTACAGGCTACAGCTACAGTGTAGTACGTACACGTACGGTACAGGACCACATTACGTGTAGTCTCAACGACTCTGACGCGTCTACTGCACGCACTGGGTCGGGCTGGGCCCGTCCGGCCCGTTCCACTGTCCTATCTTCTGTGTGAAATAAAAACGGCGCATGTGATTGCTCTGAGAAAGCTGCCGTGGCATGTTTTTTGTTCGGCTATTAAGAGTTAACACCCTTTCCAATATGGACCCAAATTGGGCCGGGAAAACACAGTTGGAACTGCTGAGTGAAAGCGACTACTCATGCAACCGTGCAGTGTTTCAGGATGTTAGCGATGAGACTAGCTTGCCCCAAGGATCATTGAAAACCAGCCATCTTAGATTTTAGTGAGTTTTACCATGCATCGGTAAATTAAATTTTACTGGGTTTTATTACTGGGGTTTACCATGTATCTTGGAGTCTGCATAAGGTTTGGGTTGTTCATGTTTCCTTGCTGCAGCTGTAACACTGTAACAGTCATGTATAGATAGACTACTGATCCTGTTATAGTGGACAATTGCTCCTCGATTCGTACTAATGCACTTACCTAATGCAGCGGTGATCCATCCCTTTGCTGAACACATGGTCTACTACTTCCTGTTTGCGATCCCCATGCTGTCGACTATTTACATTGGGAATGCCTCTGTTCTGGGCTTTGTGCTCTACATCGCCTACATCGACTTCATGAACAACATGGGGCACTGCAATTTCGAGCTGGTGCCCAAGTGGATGTTCCAAGTCTTCCCTCCTCTCAAGTACCTCATGTACACGCCATCGTAAGTGCGATCCAATCTTGCTACACAAAACATGTACACAAAACTAGCAAAACACAAATTTGGGCTCATTGATTTCTAACGTCTCACAAAACACAATGTAACATTTTTGTTGTTGTTGTTGATTTCATACAGGTTTCATTCTCTGCACCACACGCAGTTCCGCACAAACTACTCACTGTTCATGCCATTCTACGACTACATATACAACACCATGGACAAGTCATCTGACCAGCTGTATGAGAGCTCACTCAAGGGAACCGAGGAAACGCCTGACCTTGTTCACCTCACGCACATGACCGATCTGCAATCGGCCTATCATCTACGGATTGGATTCGCCTCCATAGCGTCCAGACCGTCTGACAGCTCCATGTGGTATATGTGGCTGCTATGGCCTGTGGCGTGGCTGTCAATGGTGCTTGCATGGGTTTATGGGTCCTCTACGTTTGTGGTTGAGAGAATCAAGCTAAGGAAGCTGAAGATGCAGACATGGGCAGTACCAAGATACAACTTCCAAGTAATCAACTTCTCCTCTACGTATGGCTTTCTTTCTACCTCATGGGGTGCAAGCTACTGACAGTTTTTTCGCCCTGCAGTATGGCCTGAGCTGTGAGAGAGAATCGATCAACGACTTAATTGAAAAGGCGATATTAGATGCTGATGCAAGAGGTGTTAAAGTGCTCAGTCTAGGACTATTAAACCAGGCAAGCAATTAGTATTACTTTACAACTCTTGCTGAAACTTGAAACTATAAGACTAGGTGCTTACTGCAGTGTGGCCTTTTCTTTGTACCTTCTGGGCGCAGGCGAAACAGCTAAACGGTGGTGGTGAACTATTTAGGCAGAAGTATTCAAAATTAAGAGTTCGCCTTGTCGACGGAAGTGGCTTAGCGACTGCGGTGGTGCTCAAAAGCATTCCTCGTGACGCAAAGCAAGTTTTTCTTCATGCAGGCCCTTCTAAGATAGCTTGTGCCACGGCTTTCGCATTATGTGAGAGGGGCGTCCAGGTATGTTTATATCATCCTGCATATCTTTGTTGCACTGTCCCGTATTTACTTTTTTTGCAGTTTTGCACTGAAAATGGCACTACACTTGTTTGGTGGATCAGGTGATCATGAATCCAAAGAAGGAATATGATATGCTGAAGTCACAGATTGCAGATAGCAAAGCAAGCTATTTGAAGCACTCCAGCAACCACACGCCTCAGGTAAACGTTTTGTTTTAAAATGGGATTCCCATTTTTTCTATATATTAAAGAAAATGTCTGCAAAAACAAACAGAGAACCGATCCAGTTAAGTTTTGTATGCTCCTTCTTAAGGATGTTAATGGGCAGATCTGAAACGTTATAGTTATAAAGCATGTCCAATTAAGAAACCTAATAGATTCTACACGATGCTGGAAGTAGAGATAGGAAGTCAAAAGGAAAGCATCTAACTTGGCCTTTGGCATGAAATGTGAGTACAGACTTGATCACAGTGAACTGAAAACAGCTGTTCTAGCATATCAAGTAGTACAGGAGCACAATGCATTAGTGGATTATTCTAATGCTAGACAAAGAAAATACTTATCCTGCGACTTAGCTTATACTGATGGTGTTGTTTAAATGTTTTTTTTAAATGGGAATTTATTATTAAACAAAATTAGCGTACTAAAGAAAAAGGTATCAATTGCCAAGCAGAACCGATGCAGTTAAGTTTGATATATACTCCGTATATGCTCCTTCATATGGATATTAACATTGGGCAGACCTGAAACATTACAGGTATAGTAAGCATGTCCAGTTAACAATTACTACAGATTGTAAACGATGTTGGAGGTAAAAGAAGGGAAAACATTTAATTTAGCCTTTCTCATGAAATGTGAATACAGGCTCAACAAAAGTTAGTTGGAGCCTAAGTAGGACTGGAGCATATGGCCTTGATGTATTCTTCTAGAATTAACCAAGGAAATCCTTTAAAAATTTCAGAAAAAGAGAAAATATTTGTCATGGAGTTCGGCTTATACTGATGGTGATTGCTTAAACTGCTGCAGATTTGGCTAGTAGACAAAATTGACGATAAAGAACAGAAGATGGCACCACAAGGAGCTGTATTCGTTCCAATCTCACAGTTCCCCATCAAGAAAATTCGCAAGGATTGCACTTACTTGAGCACTCCAGCAATGAAGATCCCTGAAACAATGCAGAATATCCATGCCTGCGAGGTAACAATGATAATGAGTACAGTTAACCCACTTCGTCAAATTTGAGGAGGAAAAAAAAGGGAAATATAAGATGTATTTTTACCGAGCCTTTTTCTGAGCATGGTTTTCTTTGTTTCCTTGACAGAACTGGCTGCCAAGAAGGGTGATGAGCGCTTGGCGCATCGGCGGAATACTTCACGCCCTGGAAGGATGGACCATGCACGAGTGTGGGGATGCCATGATGCATACTGAGAAAGCATGGTCAGCTGCTATTAGGCACGGATTCATTCCTTTGACTAAAGGTTGAGACAGAGAGCTTTCAAAGCCCGGATTCTGTAGCTGGGAGATGTATGCAACTGCAACTCTAGATGGGCATTCGACAATGCTGGCAAACTATGTTTCAGCATGATTCTAGCTGCCCGGTATAAAAGCCAACTATGGTCTTGATGAGTCGTCGGGAAGGCACATCATGAATGCCTACCTTGATTCCAATAGCTTAGTAATTATACATATGTTGTGTCATTGTATGATGCAAGTGTGAGAAACTGCTTTGTGGCTGTGTGGGTGACGTATTCAATTATAATAAAAATGTCGATTTGGGTTGTCCCTTTGAATCTGCCGAAGAATTCTCTGGCTGAAAAACGGATGAGGACTTTTTGATATGCAATCTTAAATCTCGGTGGTAAGAGCTGACTGCTATTCCTTTCAGGGATTCAGGAAATGGTACACACGCAGTCATCCATCCATAGTCCAAACTCCAAAAGAGTATACTAGTATGTTCCTGCTTCAGAACCTGTAGATCTAGGCACGACGCAATATAGATTGCCGTTGATCCGACGAAAGAGATGCAATGCGAGACCGAGAGGTGCAGTTGAGCGAGGAAACCTGCAAAGACCGTAGCTCGCTGAGCTACGGTGCTAGAACCAGGTTTCAGCTCTATCCTCTAGAATCCGTGGTGATTTGCCTTCAAAATGACGAGCACCAGTGGTCTAGTGGTAGAATAGTACCCTGCCACGGTACAGACCCGGGTTCGATTTCCGGCTGGTGCAATTTGTCATTTTTAAAGGCAACAATTCCTTTTCTTTGTTGGCACCATGGTTTAAAAAACAAGATAATTTGTCATTTCTTCTAAGACGTTCAACGTGTCAATTTAAACTCTTACGTATTCGAAAATCTTTTACGTATTCGAAAAGAAAAAAAAAACTTTTGCCGTGCAGTGCGCAGACGGAGAACCGGTCCAGAACAAGCAGCGTCCCTCGAATCCATTGATAAACTGCGTGATTGAGAAGCCCTGCACTTTGCAATGCGTAATTTATTTTCTCTGAAGAGATTAGGAAAAGCGTGCGCACTCTGCGTGACTTGCCACGTCCAACAAAGCGTGCAAGAACAGAGACGTCGCCCTGTTAGCGTGAGCTTATTCAGCAGCACTTTCTATGAAAGAGTTTTTTTCCTCTCACAACATTTTAACATAAGCCAAATTTCAGCATAAATACGGCAAGGTGCCCATGAGTCAGGGTAGTTCGTATGGTATCAGTTAGCACGCAAAGCATTGCAATAAGTAAGATGGTCCAAACGACCAGAGGATTATCATGCTACCTTCTAACCTAGTCAGATCCGTCGCATTGTTCAGTCACATTCCAGGATTGCTTACATCTCTTGCTGACAAAAATAATCAAGAACGATTGTTTCTAGTAAGCCTGGTAGGTCAACGTTTCTTGAACCGCCCCTGAATCAGTAACCTAGACGACACCAACGTTTCTTGAGCAAGGCATCATCTGTCTTGACGATGTCAGAATAGGACCCTGCAAAACTCGTTATCGCCTTGAGACTCTTGAATATTCTCAAGGTAACACCAGAGCTCTAGATTTAGATCCTCCTGTGGAAGCATGTCAACCTTTACAGTCAGCTGATATAACCTAAGCAACAAAATATCACCAGCAAAACAACCTATTTAAACAAATTAAGCAATGCTAAATGACTACAAACTCACATTTTTCGGACACAAAAGTGATTGGGTATATATTTTATCCAGTTGGTGCCAAATCTAATTTGAGTACAATACCATGACGTGTGCCAAATCTAATTTGGGTACAATACCATGATGCGTGAGATCATATTAATTCTTCTGCAGAGAATTGTTTACACATATAGACAGAGAACATAATTGCCTAAAAGTAGGAAATGAGCACTATAAATCACAAATATCACCAGCAAACATCACTTTAACCTAATCAATCAAAGTAAAATGGCCACAAGAACAGAATTGGACACAAACGTGATTCGGTATTCATTTACCTAAGTTGGTGCTAAATCTAATTTGAACCCTAGAGATTAATCACACTGAAGGTTGAAATTATATTCTTTTCTCCCAAAACAAAGCTAGTGAAAAGGCAAAATATATTAATACCAAGGCAGTACTCCGATATATTGAGCAGACCATTCTAATTCTCTAATTCTTGTGCAGAAGTTGTTTACACTCACATAGACAGACAATGTATTTGCCTAAAGGTAAGAAATCAGCATCATTAACATTTTTGTTGAAATTCTAACACAGTTTGTAGTAACTGACTTTCTTCCTTTAGAACTTCAGTAAATGACAGTTTAACACACCATAAAAGCAACCTTTGGACACTTACTTGATATGCGCCTTTTGTCCCGACAAAATTTGCTTCCACAATGGCATTTGAATGCCTTGACAGGATGGTTGACATCATCAAAATCGATTTCATAGTCCTGCGGTTGGAATGTGCTAAAGATTATTGCATATTCTGTTAGATAACTGAAAGTAGGGCATGATATAGGTTGCCACGGCACCAGGTGGGGCAAGATGGGTAATGCAACCACAGCGGCATAAGCAGCACGGGAATGTGTCTAGATTGCATGTGGTGTGCGACATCTAGTCTGTTGGGGTAGCAAGAATCTACCAAACATTTCATTACAAAATTAAAACACATCCCACCAAACAAGATAACTATGGTATGGTGAAGTATATTCATATATATCTCTAAAGTCATACAATGGCTGCCACAATGCCCCTGATAAAAACAAGATGAAACCAAATTCAGCTAGGATGGAAGAAATTGGTCGTTCCAATAACCCCAAAAAATGGCAGGCAAACCACGTTCATTCACTTGCTATGAGCAGTAAAGTGCAATGGAGGATGAATAACCACAATTGCAGGAACACCACCTACCCATGTCAGTTCTTCAAAAGGCTCTACTTCCCTCGTTGTGAAGAATGCCAGCTGATAAACAAGGAGCATGAAAAACAAGGTTACAAGGACTCAAATTTAAATTTAAGCTATAGCATCAGTAACATGGTAGCGTTGCACTTGTACAGTTGTTGAATTTCTCTTTATTTTAATAAAACTTTACAGTGGGGGCCTCCCCTGCTGTATTTTCGGTTCAAAAAAAAGGTAGCGTTGCACATACATGATAGTAGTGGTGGTCAGGCGTCTCAATCTCAACAGGAATTGCAATGATATTGCAATCAAAGCATCTGCAGTATACAATAGCATGCCAAGTTAGCATGTAGATAGTATTGATTGGACAGAGCATGGCATCAGATCTTTTTGTTTTGTTTAGATGCTGGCATCAGGAAATAATACAACAAGCAACCAAATAATCATTCATCTACTACTTTACATGCATATGTAAAGAGACTGATCAGACAAAGGCAGCACAAGCAAAAAATGAATAACGACAAGAAATACAAGCACAATCATGCAGGATATTAGATGAGGCCATTGTGGTGAATGGAGGGAGCCAAAGGGCTCTGTAGCTTATGGCCATGACTGTTTTGTTGGTCCTTGGTATTATTTAGTTTTTGTGTTTTCTTCTATTGTAATGGTCATGCCCTTCTAAGGGGTTGTTTGAGTCGCCTAGACTCCTTATTCTCCTTCTTAATATAATGATATGCAGCTCCCTGCGTGTTCGAGAAAAAAAAGAAACACAAGCACAAACAAAGTCTCACCAGCTCATAGAACCATTCAATTCACAAATCGTAGAGCTTCACAAGAATCATAATGAATTTCTGAACAAAGGACGTTACCCTAGTTACGAACCATAAAGAAAAATTACCTGTGGTTTATAAACCTCGCCACATTCCCATAAAAAGTACCATCTAGACAGAGGGCTTCCTCATCCTTCAGAACAACTTCAGTGCCCCAGTCAGAATCGAGGAGCACAGGATATGTATGCTTTGCTTTACCAGCCTTTTGGTTATTTTTCCCAGATAGCTCAGTGTTTCGCTCATATAGTTCAGTGTTTGTTAATATTTCACCAACATACTCACAGACAAAAGCACCACGAGGAAGATTTTCAGCAGAGCGCAAGCCCCAACCCTTTTTCCCTGGAGTTAAGAACACCTGAAATGAAGATATAGGACGGAAAATATTAAGAAGGCATACATATAAGGTGTAGTCAGCTGTTTAGCAAAAAAGTAAACACAGAATGCATAGAATCCAAGGAAAGGCTTTTTTTTTAATGATGATCAGGTAACAAAAAGATGCTACAGATTGGCAGCTTGCAAGCGCCATCATAAATCCATCATATTTGTCTGTTGCACTGATTAGTGTTAATTTTATATCTAGCAGGAAAGGGTAATACCAATGATCTTAAACGGTAATAAGTTACTTCACTTGCCTGCAGCTTGCGAGTAATGCCTCGCTGAACCACACGGTTTCCACAATCTCTAGTACAACCACATTTTCTCCAGCATTCCTTGATAAATTTCTTAATACGGTGCCCTTTACAAGCTTCAGGTTTGTTTACTCCCTTCATTTGTTCAATAGGACAAACACCCTTGCAGTAGAAGTAAGATCGTTCAAGTGGTTCCCGGAGCATTGAGACACAAGCATCTAGAAATCCTTCCTTAAGCCGGCCATCTCTTGTGTATGCAAATTCTCCACCGGTTTCTCGTGCACAAGCGCAAGGAAGTGGCTCTGCTAGACAATCTCCAAAACAACCAGAACAACAATTTTCATCTCCAATTCTAGCAAGTGAGAGGTTGATATAGGCATCTTGGAAGGTGGTATTTTGCGATATATAGTAAAATGGAGGAGGAAGAACCCCATCCTCTCCATTGACTATTGGAATGCTCAAACATTCTTCACCCCTCGTTATATCATTGACATCATGATATTGTCTCTTGATGCCTGTGGGTAGATGCTGAATAACCTGCATATTACTAGGATTATTCTGGTTACCTCCAGAATCAGCACTACCACCATTGGGTCCAGAACCCAGATCAAGAATACACTGGCAAGTATCATCCAAAAGTTTCATGAAAGAGAAATTGGGTTCTAGGATCTTGTATGTCCTGAGGCATTTAGCCTCCATTGCCTTGCATATTGACTCAATGCCAGGCATTTGAAAATCAGAACCATTTGCCAAGGAAGGGTTGAACAAGAATGATAGCTTCCCTTTTCCACAGTTGGACAATTCAACCTCAAAGTTGGTGGAAAAATCTTTGCTGATTACAATTGCTTGGCTGCTACATGCATCAACCATCTGTCCTTCATGCGCAACCAAAATACCTTTAAACTTCTTATCAGTAGGGTGCTTGACACCAGAAATCATGTGAGCATCTTCATGTCCTGAATGATATTGTAACGGCATAGAAAAACGAAATTAGTAATAAGTTAACAAATGTATCAGGAGCCAAGCAAAGAATATGGACAGGAGAGAGAAACAAAACAGGAAATGAAACATATATCAACATCCTCATAATAGTTGAGTGTTCATTGTTCAAACATAATTTTCAAATCTGCAACACGTGAAACTAAGCTTCTACCACCATATAAACATAGAGATATGCACGGGCCTTTCTCAAATTGTCTGGCATACTAGCAGCAAGTTATGTATATAAAAAGAACAGCACTGCAGTTAGCAAAATGATGCCCTAGGGTACTTGAAATTTACGCATCAATTATCTTAGACCATTAATGATTTTTTCAGCCTGCAAACAGGAATGCAAGTCCACTAGTTTTTAGCTTCTTGTCAAACACATTGGAGAGCCACATATCACTTCATCATAGAAGAAAGTGTACGAGTACAAAATACATACACAAACTCCTTACTACAAGATTATTAGAACATTCATTAAGGGCATCCAAACAAGGCCCAAGTGAAATTGACCCAAAAGCATTTTCTATTCTACTCCCTCCGTTCCAAACTATAGTTTGACCAACACACTTTAGCTTTGTCTAAGTCAAACTTCTTTAACTTTGACCAAATTTTAGAAAAATATATCGTCATCTGCAAGTTCAAATAATTGCACTATTAAAATATATTCAATGGAGAGTTCAATGAAACTATATATTGATGTATTTTTCTATAAACTTGATCAAAATTAAAGAAGTTTGATTTAGGACAAAGCCAAAGTGAACTATAATTTGGAATGGTGGGAGTACTATCAGTCGCTGAATCTTCTATCACCTAAACAGATAGTATTATAGAAGCAATTCAAAGATAAATTTATCAAAATAATAACACACTAAACAAAAACAGACAAAAAAATGATCCCTTCCTATTGCATGTTTACAACCTCTCCAGTCTCCACTCCACTCATTCAATCATAATTCTGATTCCTTGTCAATTTAAATAGTGGGTTTAATGGGGTAAACATTGCTTAGAGAAAACACAAAACAACATCTATTTATTAAGAACAAAAAACAAGTTTCTAAAATAACTACAAAAGATGGAGGAAGTATATGTAGAAGTAGTGAGCTGAAAATATTTTTGCTGCACCCAAAGCAACATATATTTATATAAGAAAGAAAAACACCAAAATCTATACATCCAGATAGACATGATAATCTATATTCTTTCCAATACAATAGAAATGTGAATAATTGTGGGAATCCAAAAACAGAAGCATTAAAATCTGAAAATCGAATACCCGTCACTGTTAATAAAACGGATATGAGAGTAATCTTATAAAGGTACATTACCATTATGACAGCTGGGTTCTAAAACTTCAGGACACATAACTGCAAGTGGGGTCTCAAAGGTGCAAGGATCTTGACTTTCAAGTAAAGTCGAACCATTTTCACCAATTCTTGTAGTCTCTGCACGACTTATTTTCATTTTTTGTTCCTTACTAATGATAGTTTGTGAAGACTCCAGCAATTGGTTAGCAGTGGTTCTCCCCTCAAGGGATTCTGCTTCTTGCTGACGTGGCACTTCAGCCAACTCTCTCTTCACACTGCCATGCATACAAGATTTCGCCTTCTGGCCATGCTCTTTAGTCTTGAGCTTCTTTCTATGGTGGTCTGAATCCAGATTCTTCTTCTCAGCTCGCTTTTTCTGCCCTTCCTGCTACAGTGACGAGTTTGGCTTAAGCATGGTAAACTAATGAACTAATAAGAAGAATGGTTCCCATATGTATTAAATTCAGCATCATATATCAGTTTCTTATTTGCCACAAAATCATTGATACATCAGAATTAATTTATGTCGAAAATATGATTGCTTCAAAAAAAAAACATTAAATATCTAACTAGAGATCTGAGCAAAGCCTCAACAAAATCAGAATAGAAGGCCAGAACATACTTCGGGATCTGAATCACTAAGTATAGCATCAGCCAAAACAGAATAGTTATCAGCTTCTATATGCTCCCAGTTTCCATCATATACTTTTAGTAGTTTTTTCAATACTCGTGCAACAGTTTCCTTTGAGAAACCAAAATCAGCCATTGATTTAATTGCATCATCAATTTTTTCCATGGAAGTCTTGGATAGTTCCATCCTGCTAGCAATGAAACAAGTAAGCTTCAAACATGCTATGAAAAATGACCCCTCAAAGAGCAGATATTAATTTATTCCTAAAAGAATGGGAAAGATATACTTCACATCATGAAATTTGTTAAGAATACTTGCAATGCAAGGTTACAGTGGTTAATAAGCAGGGAAGATATAGGCTATAAGCAACTTAGATTACCTTGGACTAAGGATTCTTCATTTTCCACATCGAACCATAGTTTTTGAGATTGGATCTCTATAGAAGCGTTAGAACAAGACTTAAGAGACAACTTATTCTTGCTGAATCTGATACTTCGTCCTTATATAACTCATGGACTGGTATTGGGATGGACTCATAGGAAACAAACCATATCTTATGGAAGCTAATTGATACATCCAAAATCCTTATTCTAGGAAAGTAACCAAGTGTATAAGAATGGAGCAAAATAATTTGATTGACACGATGAACTTTCCTAAATCTGGCTGTGTGGTAGGTCTGCAACAGATCAGAGTGCCACAGAAACAACACCTCAAAATGCCATATGCAGTAAAATTTACATTATTTTTTAACACATTTTTACTATCTATGGTAACTTTTAAGTTGTAATCTCACTGTAGTTCTTGTTCCTACTAAATACTAACAGTGACGGAGCTTGAACAACATTCTATGGGGCCCATCAATAAATTAGGGGGGGCACTAACGATGCATGAACCAATTTAGCCATGGATTACTGTGTGTTATTAAGAAAAATGAAAAACCTAGGGGTGGACATTGCTAAACTAAATACTAAACTCCAAAAGTATGTAACTATGTATCACCATCCTACACTTCATCTCTAAGTTATCATCCACACTAGATATAGGAAAATGTCTTATCATATATTTCAGCCTGTTTGATGGAAATAGCAACAAGGATGAAGAAATACTTTTTCTTTAATTCATGAACACATGATAAACAAACTTCTTTTCATGGGAGCATGGTGCATATATATGGCTACAAGAAGAATCAGAACAGGGCACCAACTAGTAATTGTGTGCAGAAGCCCCAAAAATTCAAAGTGATTACACCAAACCAAGGCAACACAGTAATATGGACAAAAGAAAAACCTCAGTGGTCTCTCAAACGCCATGTTGCAGCACAGCACACAAAAAATGGGCATGTATGAGGTGCAAGAATTTTGAGTTTTTGAACAAGTGTAAGACTAGAGATGCATCAAATACAGGACCTCCTAAACTGTCTGGCTATCCAATGCAAGACAGTAAGGATTGGTTCATAACCCCCCCCCAAAAAGAAGAAAAGAAAAAGAACCCCACATATAAAGTAAAGGTTTATCAACGTTATTTTACTACCTAGGACACTATAGCTTAATGATGGCTGGAGAACTTAGAAAGTAATTGAAATTGTTAAAACAAATACACCTCCGTTCCAAATTGTAAGTCGTTCTGCCTTTTCTAGATAGATACTCCCTCCGTTCCAAATTATATGTCATTCCAACTTTCTTGGAGAGTCCAAGCATCTCAAGTTTGACCAAAATTATATAGAGAATTATAAAGGTTTATGACATCAAATAGGTATAATATAAAAATATAATTAATGAAGAATCTAATGATACTTATTTGGTATCATAAATGTTATTATTTTATTATATAAATTTGGTCAAACTTGAGATTCTTTGACTCTCTAAAAAAGTTGGAATGACTTATAATTTGGGACGGAGGGAGTAGCTTTTACTCGTCCCTCTTTGGAAAGTTCTTTCGGAAAATCGGGGATCGAGACCCCATTGCCATGTATAATCCTAGCTCTCTTCTATAAAGTGTACTCTGTAATCATCCTTTGGATAATTGATCAAGACAGCTGCAATACACATCGGTTTTCACGTGTCACATCTCATTGGATCAGTCAAATTGCATCCATCTAGTTTGAACCCAAATCAAAGAAAACTGGATTTTGCCAAGTACTATACCCTTTCATGTCACTTGCACCAGAAAAATCCAAATAGTTGCCCAAACATGAGATATATGCATTTATTTTCTCAATGCAATGAAATCTATGTACTTGGGACATAGGATCAAAAAGTATATGAAATTGATTGTATCGCAAATCATAAAAAATAAAATATGTAATCGCATTCATCTCTTCAATGGGATTGCCAAAACCTTTTCAGAAACATACCTAGAAGTTTTGAGATTCTCTATAAAGATACATGCAGAATAATTGATCTTACATAAGGAAGCAAAATTTTAAGATCAAACTCAACTCCACTGGATGGTATGAAAATTTTCAAACAGGTCACTATTCATGTAGTCTTCATCAACTTTATATCTTTCAAATTAAGCTGAGTTTTACCTTAAAATTTTGCAACCTTGTGTAAGATCAGTTATTGTACATGTCGACTTTTTTTAGAGTTTTCCAAAACATAGATATGCCATTGAGAGAGTTTTGGAACAAATCCATATTGACGGTGCACCAAAGAACATCAACATACTTGTCTATCATAAGAGCATCTCCAAGAGTCTTTCTTAAACTCACTCTCTAAATCATCATTTAGAGTCATTCGAATAAAAATCGCTCTTTATATCTTTTGTTATCCAACAACTTTTCTATAGGTTGTGCAAGCTCTAGAGAGCCAATCTCACTCTCCATCTTTGGCTAGCGAGAAATCTGAAATAGAAAATGATAATATTTGGAATAATTAAAGAATTAAAGAATCTGTTGAAACTTAATTTTTTCACCAAAATTTCGATTCCTATCAACCAAGGATATAGAGAGGTTCTTAGAGTTGCTCTAAGAATGCAAGTGGGCACTTGAAAATGTGTAACAGGCCAGAACAACACCAAAACCTTTACAGAGAAAAGTGACAGAACAATCCCAAAACCACATCACTCTCTGAGAAACAGGCCAGAACAATCCCAAAACCACGTCACTCTCGGAGAAACAGGCCGAAACCATCCCAAACCTATATCGCTCTCGGAGAAACAGCCCAGAACAACACCAAACGGCCAAACCCATATTAGTCACAGTCTCACGGAGAAACAGGCCAGATCAACATTAAACTCACACTACTCTCGTAAAAACAGGGCACAGCAACTAACCCACATTACTCGCAACAGCAACAAGTGAGGCAAGACACACACATGTACCTTACCTTGCTCACGGAACCACCGAACGGGACGAAGACCAGAAAACTGAACCACTGCGCCGCCTCTCCCACGCTTTCTGCCGATGGTGGAGCCGATAAAAAACCCCAGACTAGTCGCAGCCAAAGCAACAGAACGCGTCAGAATTCTCGGAAACGGACCCGAAAAAACCCCACCGTAAAAACCCCATTCCGCACCACAAACAACACGCAACAAAATGCAAACGCACTCACCCACTGCACGAACGCGTACCTTCCTAAGTGAGCCGCCGGAGGCGACAAAACCGAGGCAGGGGCGATCGGCGTTCCACCAGCGGCGTGATCACGCCGCCGCCGGCGCGCCTCCTGCGCGAGCCGCCCGAAACGGACGGCCCCCGCTCACTCCCCGCGACGGACGACGCCCGGCGGCGCGCGATCGCCGCCACCGGGCTAGGGTTTGGAGGCCAAGCGATTCCGAAGAGGAAGAGGCGTCGTTGAGGCGAGAGAGGGATTTTGGCACGAGGCGTGGCGTTGGCGTGGGGGAGAGAGCTCGCCTTCCGAAACAGGGGAGAACAAGGGAGGGGTTGGCTGTACGACTGGCCAGATGGCAAAAGCGAGCCAGGCGACGAGGAACAGTGCAGGGGCCAAAAGAGGCAACACGGTGTTTATGATCCCCTGTGACCGGTAGGCTCGGCAAGCCTCGGGTGTTTATCTTCCCCGGGCCCGGCCCGGGCCCCGGCGTGAGGCAGAGGTTTTGCGAATAGGTCCCCGAAACTGTCGCGTTTAGCACCCAAATGGTGCATGCATGATGCATTGGAATCGTGTGATCATAATCGGAAAATTTAGTACCCCGTCTCCATGCGATGCAAATTTCTTCCGAGAATCAAACAAATGATAAAAGAATATGATGTCTATTTATAACCGTCCAAGGTTTCATTTTTTTCCCAACGTGCCCCGAGATTAAAAAAAAATCACATCATGTTTGTGTTTCTTTTCTCCTCACCTTATACCAAGAAAAGTTCTTTTGCTTCCTCTTTAGCGGCTTTTGTTTCTGTTGTGTGAAATACTCCGTCTATCTCATATTAAATGTCGTTTTAGATGTGAAAAAATGTGGCGGACAGAAAACGAAAAAGGAGAGAGACAGATATTTAAGACGTGTTGGGAGAAGAGAAAGGTGCATTGGAAATTGACAACAGTATCGCGGGACAAACTTCGAATGATTCTTTAGGGTGCTGACATGGCACTATATTTATGAAGAGAGATGATAAAAATTTTATAGAGTTGTACTATTTCCCAAATATAAGTGTGATAAAAACTAGACCATGAAACTTCCACTGTAACGGGCCTTATCCAACAAAGAGAGTACTACAATTTACAGTGTCAACACAGATACATCCTTGTAAGTTAAGAAGCCATAACTTATACTTCCTCTTCCTTTTAAATGTTTTTTCTACATATCACGTTAACTTTGTTCTGAGTTAAATATTTGTATTTTTTACTATTCTTTTTTTTTTAAAAAAAGGTCCAGCTTTAGATCCTAGCTGGATTGTATTCCAAGTCCAAATAAAATAAGGCTGATTATAGGTTCGACATCATAATCCAACAACCATATTATAATAATACTTTGATCTCTCATTAGCATGCGCATTTTTTAAATCATAGGTTATTGTACTCCAACTAAGGGGGTGTTTGCTTTAGCTAGGAGCTCCTAAATATAGTCTCATTTAGTTTTATTTAGTCACTTTTTACCCAAATACTATGACTAAATGGAACTAAAATGGCTTTAGTCCTCTCTAACAACTCTGGAGTAACTAAATGAGACTAAACCATTTATGAGGGACTAAATTTAGCAGTTGCAATCCAAACGGGGCCTAAGAACAATCCAACTTC